CCCCAAAACCCCAAAACCCCAAAACCCCAAAACCCCAAAACCCCTTATAAGCCCAGACAGATTGATCAATTCAATATAATATATTTGTTGCTTACTATTAAATGGATAGTGCAGACTTGGAAAAAATTGAAGCTGATAAACTTGACAAAGAATCTCTCGTCATGATCAATGGAAATCCATGCAAAGTAGTCAAGATTTCGAAGATTAGGACTTCAAAATATGGACCTGGCAAGACGACTATTGTTGCCTACAGCATTTTGGATGGCAAGAAGGTCGAGCAATCCTTCAGAACTTCAGGACTCTTAGATACCCCAATTATTAAGAGAGTTGAGTACCCTCTCTTGGGAATTGATGATGGGTACTTGCAACTTCAGGATGAAGCTGGAGAACAAAAGGACGACGTAAAGTTACCTTTAGGAGATTGTTTGAAGGATGTCAAGGATCAAATCCTTAAATTCAACGAGGAAGAAATCCCTTGTCTCGTCATGGTCATGGAATATATGGGAGTTGAAGTATCTATCTCTGTCAGGGAAGACAAAGACAGCGATGAAAATTAAGCAATATGGTTATCTCTTTTAATCCTTACCGTTAGCAAGTTTTACTACAAATCTCCATATCTGGTTAGGCTGTACTCTTTATATTTCTTGATGTTAAATGGTCAGAATTAACTACTCAAAACTCAGAGTTTCAAAATTAATGACTCTTAAGGCTTTTAAGAAATTAATAAAATCTTCAATCAAATAGAATAAAATTGAGAAATAGGGATTACCCGATGACACATATCGCTAAAATTATCAACCCAAGGAAGTTTACATCAATTTGATGAATTTGTACATATAATTAGCATGAATGGGGTAATCCATGGAGATTTTAACGAGTTCAACCTTATGATTGATGACAAAGAGAATTCCGCCTTGATTTTCCCAAGATGATACCAATAGACCACAAAGATGCAAAATTCTACCTCAACGGGGATATTCAATTCATCCAGAAATATTTTTACAAGAAGTAAAACATGCTTTTTTAAGATAAGCCAACTCTTGATAATGACGTTCAGAGAGAGGAAGACATCACCGGCTTTGAGAAAGAAGAAAATGAGACTATTGGGCTTATTCAGATCATCGACAAAAAAGCCAGGAAGAGACTAAGAGTGAAAATAGACATAAAGAGCCAGAAGCTGAAGGCAAAGGAATGATGAAGAAGCTAAAGGAGAAGATGATGAGAAAGAAATTTAAGAAGAGAAAGAGCAATAGCAAGAGAAAGAAGCTGAAGGAGAAGGAGAACAGTATGGGACAGATATTCTTATATCCTTTAATCAATTTTACATGCCCAGGTTAGTAAATTTAAAACAAGAAAATTTAAATGACTTATCTTACTTATTTCTTAACTTCGATATAAGAATTAATAAGGAATATGTTCGAGATAAGTGTAAGATCGAGGAAATAAGGATAAAGAGAAAGTTAAATATAAACGGAATGTGAACAAAATTAAATATAAAGGAAAGAAAAGAAAAGGTGAGCTCCCTTTGGTGGCTCCCTGCAAATATATTTTCAATAAGCACTATTTTTGGCTCTTAGTTATTGAGCAATTACATTAGTGGACTATTTGAGCCCTAGCGCTCTTGATTGGTCTTTTAAACTTCTTTATGGTTCTTTCATCTCTCATATTTCTTATTCCACCTTTAGCAGGCTTTATGGAACGCTTCATTACTTTTCTCCTAATAGCATAGAAGTGGACTCCTTCAAAATCACTATTTGGATGTTAGAAATAAGATTTTAAGATGATATTTCAAGAAAATTTAAAAACTTATGAGCATCAACACTAAACTTCTCAAATGCGACTATTTTCTGAGCCTCATCTATCAGACTGCTATTCATTGTGCTCATATCCTCTAAAAGTTGCATATTGTTTTCTCGAGATTTTTCTAATTAATCTTCTTTATCTGCTAACTGTCTATTTGCTAAGATGCTCTGTTCCTTGCAAAGTGTGTGGTAATCCTTTTCTTGGTTTTTAATAAGATCTCCATCTGTTTCTATAAGCTGATGAATTGAAGTTATTTTTGAATGAAGGCTTTCAATATCTTGATCTCTTGACTCCCGCTCTGTGATAAATCTCATATCTAGCTCGTTTAATTTCTTGTTGATCATATCAAAATTATTAAGTTGGTACTCTATTTCATGTGTTTGTTCTTGTAATTTCTCCAATCTATCGTCAGCAACTTCTATTCTAGCTTCGATCTGGTATTGGCTATTTAGAGAAGGATCGACCATTTCCTTAATCATGGTCCTCATCCTAGTTTCAAAATTAAACCAATCAAGCTTGTTCTTCAAGTCAGGATTGGTGATAGGTTGAAGGGGTTCATCAGGCTCAACGTAACTTTGATTAGCAGTTGTTTCAATAGGATCTGACATAACTTTTATTTTTATAGTTTCAGTATTTTTATAAATTAAAGGGGTTTTGGGGTTTTGGGGTTTTGGGGTTTTGGGGTTTTGGGGTTTTGGGG